CTGGGCATATATCCAAAAAGAATGGAAAATGCTCTGTGAAACACTCTGAACTCTCATGTTTACTGAATTCATAATCCCAAAGATATTGTGATAGGTGAATGAATAAAAATGTCACGGATCCAGCTAAATATTCTTCAGTTATAAAAATAATGAAATAATGGCATTTACAGAAACATGAATGGTACTGGAGGACATTATGTCTATCAAGGGAAGTAAGTTGGTAAAGAAATACAGATGGCATATGTTCTTACTGTTATCCAGAAGCTAAAATGTTAATATTTAAAAAGGAAAGGATTGAATTATGGTTGCCAGATCTTGGGGGGAGGGTGTATTTTGAATATTTCAAATACAAAGAGGTGATGTTGGAGTTAATAAGATACATCTATTATCTGACTGGGGAAGTACATCAGTTAGCACAGTAATTGCCTAGCTGGATACCCAGAACCATATAACCCTGATATAGTTATGACTGAAATTGTAGTTCTTAGGAGGAAGAGACAGGAGAATCAGATGTATGAAGTCATCTTCAGCAGTACAGTGACTTTAAGGCTAGCCTGGTATACATGGATCTGGGTTTTACAAAAACAAACATATACCAGTTTCTCTGACCTGATTATCATATATTGAGTACACAAATTGTTACACAGTGTCACATACATGAAATTATTGTGTCAACTAAAATTTAAAAAGTATTTAAAATGTTATATGATACCCAGTGCTTGAGAAAAAACTATTTCCCTCAACCTATTGACTTCTACAAAGAGCATCTACTTAGTTACTTTCCTGTTGCTGTGATAAAATTCCACAGCAAAGGCAAATTAAGAATAAACAGTTTATTTTGGCCTGTGGTTCCAGAGGGATAAGAGTCTGTTATGGTAAGAAGGCAAGTAGGAAGCTGTGAGATCACACCTTAACTACCAGCATGACACAGAGAGCAAACTAAAAGTGGGCAAACGCTTTTAATCTCAAAGCCCAGACCCAGCCACTGACTTCTTACAGCTAGAGTGTAATACCTAAACCTTCCCAGTGTCAACTACAGGGACTAGGAGTTCAACGACCTCAGACTATGGGGTGGGCATTTCTCATCTAAACCACCACAGCGTCATTAACCGTTTTCTAAGAAACTTCAAATACACTTAAAAGTACAACTGAAATTATTCTGCCATTCCTATCTACGAAATTTACTGTTAATGACGTTATTCCATGGGGGACTATAGGCTTGGTTTGTTGTTTTAAGAATATCTGATATAGCCGGGCGGTGGTGGCACACACCTTTAATCCCAGCACTCGGGAGGCAGAGGCAGGCGGATCTCTATGAGTTCGAGGCTGGGCTGGACCGATAGCCTCCAAAACAATACAGAGAAACCCTGTCTCGAAAAACCAAAAAAAAAAAAAAAAAGAATATCTGATATAATTTACTACAGTTTTCATTTTCCTTTTGCTATGAATTAATTTCACACACAAATACATTCGTGTGTGTGTGTGTGTGTGTGTGTGTGTGTGTGTGTGTGTAGACCACTTAGGTGGAGAACCTAGATGGGCTGAAATGCTACAGACACTGATTATAACTGTGTATGGGAATCAACTGTAGATGATTAAAGGTTAAGGGGGTGGGATTTGTTTTGTGGATGAGCCAGTTCTCAGAACTAGAAAGGTAGCATTCAAGAGTATTGAAAAACCAACCCCAGTGTGAGTATTCAATGAATACTTACTGACCTTTACTAGCAGTTGGGGTAGACTGTGAAGATTCAAGAGTAAACATCGGCCACGATTTAAATCATCTCTTGTCCTTTTTTAGTTAACCACGTTTTTATAAGTAACTAAACAAAACACAGAAGTCCTCTGCAGTAACCAAAAGGCAGCTACTTAATGATGGTCAACTGTTATTCGTTATCTCCTGTAAGCTGACAGACAAATTTTCATCTGCTTGTTAAGTGTGTCCTCTTACGTTATAATTTTACCACAGGAGTTATCATCGGTAGTCCATCCGGGTTATCGTTTCCCTGGCTTGCCTCTGACTGCTGGGTTTTGCCTTGTGGCAATCAATCCCGCGTCACCTGTAAACACAACCTCCTTGGCCATCTCCAGTTTGCTTTTTAGCCATCTCAAGGGCAATTAAAACTTGTGCTTTTGATGCCTGTAGGGGGCAGGGGGTGTAAAGTCACACTGAGGCCTGTCACCCTCCCCAAGGATCCAGTCTCTGTGTGTAAGGACTGGGCCAGGGGTGGGTGGAGAGAGACCATGAGGGCCAGCACAAGTCCTGCATCTTGGGAACCCTGACCACTTAGAGCTACACACACAGCCAAGCATCATTCACTGTTTGGTCAGTGTGACATAAGCAACACCCCAAAATTCTACCAGGTAACCGCTATAGCTGATAAACACCTTTAGGAATCAACAACCACCAAAAAAAAAAAAAAAAAAAAAAAAAACCACTAACCCTTCCAGTAAACCGTGCACAGGGAGTGACTGAGTCCTGGGAAGGGTGGTAGACAGCTGGGGGACCCCTGCAGGGTGAGGGGACTAAAGTTCCTCCTCCTCATCTTAAAGCATGCAGAGACACACCATGCTGCCCTGGGACTCTCTGTGGGTTAGCTCTCTCTTATCAGAGGGTTTATATTTCTACAGTTTTAGTGACTTAGGTTAACACATTGTAGGAATAAATGACATACATATTTTATGTGGTTTCTTTCTGACTATGGGATGAGGTTTCTGTCCCCAGTCTGTCTCCCCTGGTGTGAGAACTGTCTTCTGTCCAGTGTCCTCACTGTCCACGGCATACAGCTGAGGTTCTCAGGGGCCCACTCTGTTACAAAAGGTTCCCTTGTCCTGGCAGGGTCCCACTTGAGCCCCAAAATAAACACACAGATGCTACATTAATTACGAAACTGTTGACCAATAAGTAGGGCTTCATATTGGTTAGCTCTTTCTTAATTTATTAACCCATAACTACCAATCTATGTATTTCCACATGGTCCATCTTACCCGAGAAAGGTCTGGAGCTCTTACCCCTTTGCGGTCTCACATGGTCTCTGATTCTGACTTCGTTTCCCAGAATTCACCTCATCTCCTAGACCTGCCTATCTTGCTGCCCTATTGGCCAAACAGTGCCTATTCATCAACCAATAAGAGAAACATATACAGAGGGACGTCCCCCATCACCACCCAGTTATCAGATCCACAGAGTCACTGCCCCACATCCTTGACCATTCATTTCCCTCATGTCATCAGCTCATCTGTCACCTCACGTCACAAGGGGATGGGGCAGTGGGAGAGGGACCACCTTAGTTGCTTCTCCACACTACCCTGCTGTCATCCTTCTGCTTTTCACTGTAGTGGATTTATTAACTTTGTCATAGCAGTGTGTACACATAACACAGGCAGTTTAGACAGGGTTCACTGCTCTATTGGATTCAGTCACAGGCTGACACTGGGGGTCTCTTTCCCAGCAGAGAAGGGGACAACCATATTGAAGCAATGTGTGGCTTTACACGTGTTTATTCATATGTGGACTAGGATTTAAACATGTGAGACAGGGAGACCCAGGGGACCACTTGGGGGAGGGGCAGCAGGAGAGGGAGAATACTGAGGGTGAAATGACCATGGGGCTGTGATACACACGGTTTGTGGTGTTTGCATAGCTGAGCATAGAGGTGCCTGCCTCCGACCGCAGAAGTGCTGAGGTGGAGGACGAATGTCATGAGTTCAAAGCCAGCCTCAGGGACACAGTGAGTTTGAAGGCTGCCTGATCAGTTGATCCTATCCTGAAACAAACATCTGCCAGCAATGACTACAGAGGGTGACTGAGCCTGGAGTAGGAGGAGCTGGCATCCTTTGTCACACCCTGCTGTGTGAGGGAGAAGATGCTGGAGCCCATGGAGACGCTGTGGACAGAGAATGAGCATTGGCTGTGATGCAGCTACACAGACCATGTCCCCCTGGCCTTAAGAAGCCACAAACCTGCTGCTGGTGGTGGCCTCCCTGTTGGTCCCCTCTTGATGCTGGTGTGTGTGCTGGGTATTTTGTGCAGCTTCTAGTTTTATCTAAACTCTGGATCCCATGAGAACTGTTGGGAGACACAGCATCGCAGGAATGAAGCCATGAGCCTTTGGGTCTGAACCTGGAGAGCACCCTGCAGTCTCCACACTAGACAGGATCCCATCACCACTGGAGGACACAGCTGAGGAAGGCCACTGAGCCCAGACACAGCCCTTTATCCGGAAACAGGGTTAGGCCATTAAGAGCCTCTGACTCTGATTCTGAAATGTCCCAAGGCCTTCAAGGTTTATAATTGGCATTATACTCTGAGCTCCCATACAACAGACCACTGAATGGATTGGAGGCACTGCTGAGTGCTCTGATCTCCCCTGCACACTCCTGAGTGCTCCTGATCTCCTCTGCACACTCCTGAGTGCTCCTGATCTCCTCTGCACACTCCTGACTAACCTGACTAGCAGTTGGCCCTAGGCAGCTCAGAGACACCATGGCAAATAGTGCTCTCTCCTGAAGCACAGGGTCAGGCAAAGCCTCAGTCTGCAGGTAGGGTTTGCAGCGGGGGAGCCCAGGGCACGGGTATCCCCATGTCCCCTCCTCCCAGTTTAGTTCTTCAGCTCCTAATGTGTGCCAGGTCCTTTTGCCATAATAGTGATGACAACTTGTGGGTTCTCACCCGCACTGGGTGTCGATATCCCAGAGAATCAACCGGTGCCTTCTGAGGACACCAGTCACAAATTCCAAGCTCACAGTGGACTCGCCCAGATCTGAGAAGAGGGCCATGGCGCCAGGGCTAATGCTGCTGGTGGCTGCCCTGGCCCAGACCAAGGCCCTTGTTGGTGACTGCAGGGTCGGCAGGGAAATGGCCTCTGCGCAGAGGGCAGGGGTGGCACCGGGCAAGCCTTGTCTCCTCATAGCTGGCCAGATCTTCCCGCCCCTTACCCACCTGCTTCCTAAGCCCCGAGCCCTGCTCCCCTCCTGGCCCAAGAACCTGTTTTGGGTCCAGGATGAGGTCGAGGTCTCACCCTGTTCCTCTCCCAGGCTCGCACTCGCTGCGGTATTTCCGCACCATTATGTCCCGGCCCGGCCTCGGGGAGCCCCGGTTCATTGCAGTGGGTTACGTGGACGACACGCAGTTCGTGCGCTTCGACAGCGACGCCGAGAATCCAAGATATGAGCCACTGGCGCCTTGGGTGGAGCAGGAGGGGCGGGAGCATTGGGAGAGGCAGACAAGGTTTGTCAAGAACAGCGAGCAGGTTTACCGACAGAACCTGAGGACCCTGCTGGGTTACTACAACCAGAGCGTGGGTGGTGAGTAACCCCGGGTCGGAGGTAAACCTCTCAAGACCTTAAGAACCGGCCTGGAGTCGCCCTGGGTCACAAGTCCGAGGTCTAGGAGGAGGACATCTGGGACTGGAACCGGTTTCCCTTTCAGTATAGAGAATCAGCAGGTGGACAGGCAGCAGGGCAAGGATAACCCCAGGGCTGGAAAGGTGGGCGGGGCTGACCTCGGGTTCCTTGCAGGCTCTCACACCATTCAGGTGATGCATGGCTGTGACATGGGGTCAGACAAGCGACTGCTCCGTGGTTACCGTCCGGACGCCTATGATGGCCGAGATTACATTGCCCTGAACGAGGACCTGAGGACTTGGACCACTGCAGACACAGCGGCCCAGATCACCCAGCGCAAGTGGGAACGGGCTGGTTTTGCAGAGCATGAAAAGGCCTACATAGAGGGCACCTGCTTGGAGTGGCTCCGCAGATACCTGGAGAACGGGAAGGAGCAGCTGCTGCGCACAGGTGCAGGCGCCCAGGGCAACTCCTCCCCCTGCCCTTGGGCTGGGCTCTGTCCTGAGCAAGAAGAGACCACAGCTGGGGTCCCGCCCCTGTCTCTAAGGGGACACAGTGTCCCTGGGGCTCCTGATCCAGCCTGGCAGGGACTGCACTGATCTCCCAGGGCTCAGCCTTCTCCCTGGAAGGTTCCAGATCTGTCTCAGGAGGGAGGAGAGAAGATGCCCACATCCCCAGCCGTGGCTCCTTCAGTCTGCAGCCCTGGGTCAGCCATGGCCTCTCCCAGGCCGAGTTCTCTGCCCAGACCCAGTGTCTGAGTGTGTCAGCCTTACACACCGGGACCGGAAGTCTCCTGTACCTGATCATCTCTAGAACTTTCCAAAGAATACATTATCCCAGATTTCTGTGTGTGAGGTTTGCATGGCTCCCTCATTCCAATTTTATCTCTTCCTAGAATGAACATTTATGGGGAGCCCTAGGAGAATTCTGAACTGTGGGGTTTGCTTTCTGTCTTTTCTCTTTCTCTCTTTCTTCTATTTTTGAAGTTGTCATTTTGCTTTTAGTCGATTTTCTCCCTCCCTCTGCTGCTATTGCTTCTCTCCCTCCCCTTGCACTATCATGGGTGTCAGTCTCACAGGTGCCATGGGGGCCTCATGCTCCAGATAAGTAGACAAGTTATGTCAGTGTCCTCCTTAAACGAGAAAAATTCCAGTGATTTAAACTATTTTCTGCCAGAATTAACCATCCAGAGCTCCCTGCTCTCCCTCAGCCCCAACAAGTTACTGTGTTGTCCCAGTGAATTAGGAAGTGAGCTTCCTCACAGACAGGGGCTTCTGCAACTCAAAGACTTGAATGACAGGGAAAATCCACACAGCCCTGTGAGCACCGCTGTGTCCCAGTGAGTGCTCATAGGGCTCCAAAGCAGCTTCCAGGGATCCTGGGTGACAACACCTTGTATCTTGTCCCCCAAGGAGCAGGGCTTGAAGAGTCATTTTCTCTGAGTGTCAGAGGTTCACCCCATTTCTGCTGCACACTTTGGTGATGGCTGTTCACTTGGACAGACAGTGATGCTGGTCAGCAAGATGGCCACAGTGGTTGTGCCTCAATAGTGTCAACAATAGTTGGGGTACCCTTTATGTACCCTGTGCCCCTAATTTCTTATTTTGATATGCATTTAACCACATATATAAATTATTTTCCAACCCTTCTTCTAGTCTTTTACCACCTAACATATGCTATAGAACATCATATAAGGAAGACCATGTGGCCCTCCTGGGTCCCCCCAGGAAAATGTGCAGTTCTGTGATGAGGGGGACCAGCTCCACCTGCAGGTTACTAGTGACATGACAGCCAGAAGTGATCAGACAGATTGTTCAGTGTCATCATTGGTTTAACTTAGTCTTTGCAGATTTCAGTTTATCTTGTTATTGTGGGGTTTCTTAAATCTTCCGCACAGATCCTCCAAAGGCACATGTGACCCATCATCCTGGACCTAAAGGTGATGTCACCCTGAGGTGCTGGGCCCTGGGCTTCTACCCTGCGGACATCACCCTGACCTGGCAGAGGGAGGAGGAGGAACAGACTCAGGACATGGAGCTGGTGGAGACCAGACCATCTGGGGATGGAACTTTCCAGAAGTTGGCATCTCTAGTGGTGCCTTCTGGGGAGGAGCAGAAATACACATGCCATGTGCACCATGAGGGTCTGCCTGAGCCCCTCACCCTGAGATGGGGTAAGGAGGGAGTAGGTGCAGAGCTGGGGTCAGGGAAAGATGGAGCCTTCTGCAGAGCCTGAGCAGGGTCAGGGCTGAGAGCAGGGGTCATGACCCTCACCTTCCCTTCCTGTCCTTCCCTTCCCAGAGCCTCCTCAGGCCACTGTCCCCATCATGGCAGTCATTGCTGTTCTGGTTCTCCTTGGAGTTGTGATGGTCATTAGAGCTGTGGGGGCTGTTGTGAGGAAGAGGAAGGGAAAAGCAGGTAGGAAAGGGCGGGGTCCGAATTCCCTCTCAGCCCCTTTTAGATGAGTGCTCTGCTCATGGAAACATCCACACCCCCACAGCTCCTGTCTCTAATCTGGGACTTCTGTAGGTTCTGGAAACTTCCTAGGGTTGGGCTCCTCCCTGGTCTCTCACAGCTTTTCTTCGCACAGGTGGAAAAGGAGGGAACTATCCTCCAGCTCCAGGTAAGTGTGGGGAGCAGGATTGTCCCTGAAGCCTGTGGAGTAAAACTGTAGTTTGTGGGGGCCTCTGGAAATCCATAATAGTTCCTCCAGTAAAATCTGGGGGAGCCCTGCTTTTACCTTCCTATGGATATATATTTTTTAATCCTAGGCAGGGACAGTGCCCAGAGCTCTGATGTGTCTCTCCCAGACTGTAAAGGTGACACGCTGGGTCCTGATTTGGGATTGGGAGCAAAGTGGACATGATTGGGATTCAGGGACTCCCAGAATCACCTGTGAGTGAGTGGTGGGTTGTTGGGATGTTGTCTCCACAGTGATTGTTCATGACTCTTGTTCTGTATCGTGAAGACAGCTGTGTGGACTGAGTGACAGACAGTGTGTTCAGGCCTCTCCTGTGACATCTAGGGCCCCTCAGTTCACCCTCACCAATAGTGTCTGATGTTCCCTGTGGCCCTTTGGACTCAATGTGAAGAACTGGGAGCCCAGCCCAGCCCTGCACACCAGGACCCTGTCCCTGCACTGCCTGTGTTCCCTTCCATGGCCAACCCTCCTGTTCCAGCAGACAGGAGGGGACATCTCCATCCTGTCACCTCCATGATGCCCTGAGCTGCAACTCCTGACTTCCTACTGAAAATAAGAATCTCAATTTGAATTTGATTGTTCACATCCTTGATCTGACAGGTTGATTGGCAGTTAAATAAATTATTGAGATACTGAGAGGTTGAGGAGGAAATAAATGGCAGCGTGGAGAAATTCCCAGACTCTGTGCTCATTGTGCTGTGTGCATCTGGTGGGACAGGTGATGTCGTGGGAGCTGAGTGTGAACAGGGCTGTGTCCAGGTGTAGCTCAGTCCACTGTCGGCTGTGACATGGTCACTCCTCAGCTCTCGACTCCTGTTCTCTTCATCAGTTAGAACCACATGCTGAGATCTGTGGTCACAGGGACTATGGGATGGTCAGAGTCCTGTTCTGTCCCAGGAGTGTGAGCAGCCTGGGCAGCTGGCACAGGTCATGCTGGGCTCTGACCTGGCTTCTTGTTCCTGTGGGTGGTGCCTGCCTCCTTATCCCTTGTGCCCCTGAGTGACAGCATTCAAATGTGTTTCTCCTTCCTTTCCCATTAGGACCTTTCTACACCCCTGCACTCAGGAGACTGTGACCTAAGAACATGAACTTCTGTCTCCTGAGCTCCTGCCTCCTTCCAGGCCCCTCCCTGGAGGTTCTCTCCCTCTTTCACGTCATTTAGAATTTAACCAGAGTTGTAGGATGGCAGAGAGGGGGGATCCACAGGGTGTCATCTCAGATCTTTTGGATCTGTGTTCTGCCCAAGGTCCCCTCTCCCTGGATCTGGGAATCCTGGTGCTGGCCCCAGTGGTGACTCCAGGATTTACAGGCTGAGTCTAACTTAGATTTGTGTTTATTTAAAAGATATGATCTGGCTGGGTGGTGGTGACTCACGCCTTTTATCCCAGCACTCGGGAGGCAGAGGCAGTGGACCTCTGTGAGTTCAAGACCAACCTGGTCTACAAGAGCTAGTTCCAGGACAACCTCTAAAGCCACAAAAACCAAACTGTCTGAAAAAAAAAATGGGAGTCAGATATTGAGGAAAAAAACCTGTAGATCAAAAAAAGCAGTGGAGTAAGAGCATCTGACCCTCTCTCTGCGTCCTTCCCAGATCACAAAGGCCCATGAATCTTTTAAGCCGCTCCCTACTCTTTCCTGTGCCTCTCTATCACATTGTATCCTGAGTCCTCCAAAACCTCTATGGCTAATTCCAGTCACCTAACTGTTGCCTCTGCCCCCTAATTCAAGAACAGCTTTATTAGCAGTCTCAGGGTGTCACGGAAATATTTAGAGTTTGAGATACTTACAGTTTCTGGAGGAAATAAATGACAGCATGGAGAACCTCCCAGAATCTATGTTCAAATCCTGAAACATTTCCCCTTTTGTCTAAATAAGAAGGAAAGTTTTTAACTCTAACACAGTAAAACTATATAATAAGAACATTACCAAGCCAGCCAAGTAATCTGCTTATCTCAAATGTGCTTCTGCAGAAATTTAGGAAAGGCTGGCAACAGTGACGCCCTTCACGAATCTTAAGGACAGCTGAAGTCTTTAAGGTCCCTGAAAATGGCTACAGTATTGTGATGCTGGGAAACACTTAAGACTGAATTAATAATAGTTAACAGAACTTAATACTGAATAAAGTAATTTGCATCTAATTTTTTTAAGGACTGTGGCAAAGAATCTCAGGCCAATGATGTCATCGAGGAGTACTTCAAGTGCAAGAAATGAATAGAAAAAAATTTTGGCTAAAAAAAAATGGAACGATTACCAGGTCAGGTGGTTTGGCTTGAGGCCAACCTGGTCTACAGACTGAGTTCCAGGACAATCAGAGATACACAAAGAAAGTCTGTCTCAAAACAAACAGACAAACAAAACCAATTACAGGTATTATCTAAATAAAAAGGAAAGCTTTTGACTCTAACATAGTAATACTATATACAATAAAAACAATGATCAGGTAAGAATTACATTCACAATGTCCAGTCCATTTGTATTTGGTAAATTTGGAGAATTTATTATCTATCCTATCTTGATGAGTTCAAAGTTTTATAGCTAAACCTCTTTCTGTCATAACTGTATAACTACCATAAAAATACCTTTTTAGACCTTGAAACATTTTCTTAGATAAACACCTTAGGCTTTTATGTCTCTCAACCTTATAAACTTTACATCTCTTTTGTAAGTTTCTGTTCTGAATTTCGTAACAAAGAAAATGGTATAACTATCAGGTCTTCAACCCCATCAGAGATCAGATAGGGAAAATAATACTACCTGAGTAAACAGGAAGTGCAGAGCAAACAAATTCCAAAACTATAGACAGAGACATTTGGCTGCCTGGACAGTCACCCAAGTTTTCTCTGCAACACTGGGACATTCATCTCCTTCCTACAGGCCTAGCATATCTGACAGATGTTGGATAAAGCCTTCCCGCCAGCCTGGTTCCAGAGCTGCATCAGTTCCAAATAACACACAGGAGGCTATATTCATTATGTAGCTGTTGGCCATTTGCTTGGTTTCTTACTGGCCATCTCTGAGTTAAGAGTTTACTCCATTATTGCTAATCTAAGTATTTCTCTTACCGGAGAAAGGGTTCGGACCTCTTACTTCTATGGCGGCTACGGGATGACTCCCTGTATTTCTCTTTCCCAGAATCCTCCTTGACTCCTAGTCCCACCTATCATGCTTCCCTATTGACCAACAGTGCTTTATTGACATATACACAGGACTTACCCATCATCTCCTCTTTTCTGTCTAAATTAAAAGAAAGGTTTTAACTTTAACATAGTCAAATTATATATAATAGAACAGTTATCAAGTAAGAACATAGTTACAATATTTTGTCCATTAACATTTAGAAAGATTTAAAGAAACTATCATCTATCCTATCTTTGTGAGTCTAAAGTCTTATATGTAGCTTATCTTTTATCATAACTAAGGAAAACTATGATTATAACTATCTGTCTTCAACTCCATCAAAGACCACAGAAGGATAATATATAAACACTAGAATTGACAGAGACATCTCGCTGCTTGGACAGTCACCCGAAGTTCCTCTGTAATGTTGGGGCATCCATCTTCAGTCCACAAGGCCACAATGTGTCCAGAAGACTTCTCAGCAAAGCAGGAAATTTCAAACTGTCCATCTGCATTGGCAGTCTGTCAGCCATTTTTCTGTGTCCTGCAGAAATTCTTGTAGACTCTTCCATGAAGCAGGAACCCTGAAGGACTGTTTGAGTTTAGCAGTCCTTTCCTGTGGGTCCTGCATATCCAGTTTATACAGCAACAGTCTAGGCAAGAGCAGTTTCTTGCCCAAATGGCGAATCTTGCCATGTTGAAAGAAACTCAATAACAAGTTTCTTCGATACCCATCTTCCTCTCAGACTTAATTGATGTGCCAGGAGCAGACATTGCTCATTGTCAAGACAAACCCTAAACCATTTTAAATGCCATTTTCTGAAGGTCTTTGAAAGATTTGAAGACTATCTATCTCAAATATATCTCTGCATATCTAGAAAACCTAACTTACCTAGCTATAAGTTCTGACAGATTTTTCTCACAAAAAATGACACAGAGACTTCACATTAATTGTGAAATTAGGCCTTAGCATAGGCCTGTTCCTAATTAATTCTTTTCCCTCTCAAGACAGGGTTTCTCTGTGTAGCTTTGTAGACCAGGCTGGTCTCGAACTCATAGAGATGCACCACCATCACCCAGTTTTCTAACCAGTTCTTTTGTTGTTGTTGTTGTTTTGGTTTGGCTTGATTTTTTTTGTTGTTGTTGTTTTTGAGGCAGGGTCTCTCTGTATTGTTTTGGAGGCTGTCCTGGAACTCGCTCTGTAGACCAGGCTGGCCTCGAACTCACAGAGATCCGCCTGCCTCTGCCTCCCGAGTGCTGGGACTAAAGGTGTGTACCACCATCGCGTGGTTCTAACGAGCTCTTGTAACTTAAATTACCCTCATCTTCTGTCTACGGTCCTTTATGTCTCAGTCACCTTCACTCTATCTTGTGCATCCTGATTCCTCAATGTCTGCCTGGTGACTGTCTTCTTCCTCTCAGCCCAGAAGTCCTGCCTACCTCTCCTACCTAGTTATTAGTCGGTCAGCATTTAATTACACCAACCACAGTGATACACCTTCACAGTGTACAAATATCCTGTGTTGGGGCTGGAGAGAGAAGGCTCAGAGGTTAAGAGCACTGACTGCTCTTCCAGAGGAACTGAGCTCAATTCCCGGCAACCGCATGGTGGCTCACAACCATCTGTAATGAGATCTGGTGCCCTCTTCAAGCCTGCAGGAATACATGCAGGCAGAATACCATATACATAATAAATAAATCTTTAAAAAAACAAATATCCTGTGTCCCTTGCACCAGGAGCAAGTCTAATATATTGGGCAAAAGTCTGAAGATTTAAATGAAAGACAAGACGTCCGGCCGTTTGTGCTGAGAGAGAGAGAAAGAGAGAGAGAGA